GGGCTGAAAGAGATGAGGTAGTGGTAGATACCGGTTTTCCTGGGATTACACCTTGGATCTAGTTTTGCATATTTGAAATCTGGTCATTTCATTTTAGGTTAATATGTTTAGTAAATCTTTCATGTGAAAAAAGAAACAAGAAATAACGGTTCCCGTCAGCTTGGGGAGTGAGTCCTTCTGTGACCTCACCGACCCTTACCCTGAAGAGACCTTTAAAGCTCCTTCGGACTTCCCCCACCTCTTCGGAAGGAGTAAATACCTTTGCCGTGACCAGACAGAGTTGGCGTTTAACAGCTGCCTGAGTTGGTGCTCGGAGGTGGCGTTTCACTGTCTTGAGTTGTTCAGTTTTTTTTTTTTTTTTTTTTTGAGACAGAGTCTCGCTTTGTTGCCCAGGCTAGAGTGAGTGCCGTGGCGTCAGCCTAGTCACGAACCTCAACTCCTGGGTCACGAGTGATCCTCTGCCTCAGCTCCGAGTAGCTGGGACTACAGGCATGCCGCACCATGCCAGCTAATTTTTTATTATATATCGTGGCCAATTAATTCTTTCTATTTATAGTAGAGACGGGGTCTCGCTCTTGCTCAGGCTGTTTTTGAACTCCTGACTTGAGCAATCCGCCCGCCTCGGCCTCCAAGAGCTAGGATTACAGGCGTGACCACAGGCCGCCTTGTTCAGTTATTTTTAAGAGCCTGAAAAGTCAGAAGGCAGCTTGCTGTGTGTCTTGTGGAAGTCTCTTTCCTTCTCTGGGCAGTACTTTCTCCATCATACAAGGTTGACTACAGGCTGTCCAAGTCCTGCTGCTGTGTATCTCCACAGGTATAAAAAATATGCATTTTTAGTAACTCCAAGTGTTTTAATTCTGCTGATACAAGAATCATCTGGATACTGATTTTTTTTTTTTTTTTTTTTTTTTTTAGAGGACGGGTCTCGCTGTACTCATGCTGGTCTGGCAGAGTCTTACTCTGTTGCCCAGGCTAGAGTGAGTGCCGTGGCGTCAGCCTAGCTCACAGCAACCTCAAACTCCTTGGCTCAAGTGATTCTCTTGCCTCAGCTTCCTGAGGTAGCTGGACCATGCCCACCATGCCTGGCTAATTTTTTAAATATATTTGTAGTTGTCCAGCAAATTTCTTTCTATTTTTTTAGTAGAGATGGGCTCTTGCTCTTGCTCAGGCTGGTCTCGAACTCCTGAGCTCAAATGTTCCGCCCACCTCGGCCTCCCAGGGAGCTGGGATTACAGGCGTGAGCCACCAGGTAGGTCTGGGATGCTGATTTTAAAATGCAGGGCCGGCGCGGTGGCTCACGCCTGTAATCCTAGCACTCTGGGAGCGAGGCGGGTGGATTGCTCAAGTCAGGAGTTCAAAACCAGCCTGAGCGAGACCCCGTCTCTACCATAAAATAGAAAGATTAATTGCCAACTAATGATATATATACTAGTATATCTAGTAATATATACTATATTATATTAATCAGCGGGCATGTGGCTTTGCTGTAGTCCAGCTACTTGGGAGGCTGGAGCAGCGAGGATGGCTTGAGCCAGGAGTTTGAGGTTGCGTGAGCTAGGCTGACGTCACGGCACCTACTCTAGCCTAGGCAGAAGCTAGACTCTGTCTCAAAAAAAAATAATAAAATAAAAATAAATGCAGATACTCCTCCTACCTAGGGACACTTAATCCTGATCAAGCAGGTCTGGGGTGGGGCCTGGGAATGAGCATTTTTATTGTGGCCCACACTTGCAGAGACCAGACTGATTTGGGGATACACATCCCAGCTGACCATCCAAGACTGCCTTGTTTCTTTCCAGTTTCACGTCACTCAGGGTGAGGTGAAGAACCTCTGTTTCTACTTTTTTTTTTTTTTTGAGACAGAGTCTCGCTTGTTGCCCAGGCTAGAGTGAGTGCCGTGGCGTCAGCCTAGCTCACAGCACTCAAACTCTGGGCTCTCACCGTTGTTTCTTAGAGCTGAATAGTACACCATGGTATACATATACCACATTTTATTAATCCATTCTTGGATTGATGGGCACTTGGGCTGTTTGCACAGCCTTGCAATTATGAATTGTGCTGCTATAAACATTCGAGTGCAGGTGTCTTTTTTGTAGAGTGTCATTGGATATCTTGGGTAGATGCCCAGCAATGGGATTGCTGGATCAAATGGTAGATTCACTTGTATCTCTTTAAGGTATCTCCATATTGCTTTCCACAGAGGTTGGACTAGTTTGCAGTCCCGCCAGCAGTGTAGGAGTGTTCCTCTCTCTCCGCATCCACGCCAGCATTTATTGTTTGGAGACTTTTTGATAAAGGCCATTCTCACTGGAGTTAAGTGATATCTCATTGTGGGTTTGATTTGTAATATTATTTTTATAATGAGAATAAAACAGGGTGAAAAAACCCTCTATAGTTTTGCTGTCCTCGTCCTTAAAAACCCATCTATTCTCTTCCCCATGATCTCCAGGTTTCTGTTAGGCTTCCCGCTATCTTTTCCAAGTTTAGATTATCTGGGTTCTGAGACTAGTAGAGTTTTGAGGAAAGCATGTCCAGTTCAGCGCGCCTTAACCTTACGCCCCGCCTGCAGGCTGACTTCCAAACCACACGGCAGAGCAGGGCGACCTCTAAGGTCGCATCCTGGCTTCACCGCCTTCCGACTCGTGAGCGACACTTGCGCGCGCAGCGGGACTACATCTCCCAAGAGGCTTTGCGCTTCCCGGAGCGGGGGCAGCCCTTAATAGCTGAGGACTACATTACCCAGTGATGTCTTGGCGAAGGCGTTGGCTGGACTTTAAGCGTACAATCATTGGTCCAGTCCCTGTCGGGAACCGCACAGTGATTGGCCCAGGAGCCCGTCAGTTTCTGCCGAGAGCTGTTGAGTTTTGGATTGGACTGAGCAAGAAGGGAGCGAGAGCTGAGAGCGGGCATCCGGGCCGCACCGGCCGAACCGGGTGAGTGACCTCTACCTTCTCCCTTCTCGCGGTCCTTTCGGGGACCTGCACCCTCGCTCTCCAGGGAGGGACCAGGGGAGCACACAGGCGCAGGTACTCATGTGGGGGCGGGGACTCTACTCACGTGTCACACCTGACCTGAGAAGCATCTTTTGGGACGCCAGAGGCAAAACCCCGCGCACACCTCTGGGCACCTGAACACCTGGGCGTCTTCTCGGATTTAGGGAGCAAAAACACACCCTGAGGCACACCTGGACTCCTGTGTAGCCACGCGGGGACGTCTCCAGAGCCCCTCAACTGAACCCTTGGGCACATAGGCACCCACTCACTGTGGGGCACTTATGTACCCGAACACCGGGAATAAGGCTCCAGTCTCCTCCTGAAACTGAGCCAGGACACCTGCCACTGGAGTTTGCTCCTTCCCTCTCAGACGGGCAGGAAACTGACACTGCTTGTGACCTGATTTTCCCTGGGTAACGGCTGCCCCTTGTTTAATGGCTTTTCACAGGTGCCTACAGAGGAGTTCCAGGGTGGATGAGAGAGAAAAAGAATCCATGCTGGGTGGCGTGGAGGTTGTCATTGTGTAGGCAGTGTCCTCCCTGTTACTACAAGTATTCAAGAACTAGGTTAATCTTGAAGTCTCTTCTAAAGTCTCTTCATTTTACATTTAGTTTTAGTTTACCTTTTCTTTTCTTTTTTCTTTTTCTTTTCTTTTTTTTTTGCCATAACAAATTCAAACAGTACAGAATTACATAAAGAGAGAGATCGATCTATCTTCCTTCTCCCCTTCCCAACCTTTTCCCAGTGGTAACTTACCAACTATCTGTTGGGGTGTGTGTGTGTGTGTGTGGTTACAGACTTCTTCCTATGCGTTATACAACTGTGTGGAGCATACGTAGGCTTTGCTGTTTTTCTTGTACAACAATGGGATTATACTAGACATACTGTTCTGAAACCGATTTTTGTTTGTTTGTTTTGATCTACTATGGCCGTCTTTCCAAGTGAGTGTGTATAACTCAGGCTCATTCTTTGTAATGGCTGCATGGTATTCCACTGCACGGATGTCATGTAGTCTATTATTTACCTAGCCCTCTGTCGATGAGCATTTGTGTTATATTTGTGTTATTAACAATGATGCAATGCACAGTATTTCACACACCTGTCCTATCCTAGTGTTTCTCCAGATCAGTGGTTCTCAAGCAGGAGCAGTTTTGTCCCTCAGGGGATATTTGGCAACGTCTGAATGCATTTTCGATTTTCACAATGGGGATGTGGTGGTAGAGACCAGGGGCAGTGTTAAACATCCTATAATGCACAGTTCATCTCCCCAATGAAAGAATTAGTCTTCATTCTAAAATGTCCAGCCCAGTGGTGCTACCCCGTAGTCCCAGTTACTGAGGAAGCTGAGGCAGAAGGATTGCTTGAGCACAGGAATTTAAGAGTGTGAAGACACTGGTGCACTCCAGCCTGGGCAACATAGCGAGACCCTGGCACATGCATGAGTGCTCTCTAACTCTCTCTCGCTCGCTCGCTCTCGTTCTCTCTTTCGCTTTCTTTCTATATATATATAACTAGTCATTAGCTTTGAGATTGAGAAACGCTGCTAGAAAAACATAATGGAGGCCGGGCGCGGTGGCTCACGCCTGTAATCCTAGCTCTTGGGAGGCCGAGGTGGGCGGATTGCTCAAGGTCAGGAGTTCAAAACCAGCCTGAGCAAGAGCGAGACCCCGTCTCTACTATAAATAGAAAGAAATTAATTGGCCAACTGATATATATATAAAAAATTAGCCGGGCATGGTGGCGCATGCCTGTAGTCCCAGCTACTCGGGAGGCTGAGGCAGAAGGATCGCTCGAGCCCAGGAGTTTGAGGTTGCTGTGAGCTAGGCTGACGCCATGGCACTCACTCTAGTCTGGACAACAAAGCGAGACTCTGTCTCAAAAAAAACAAACAAACAAACAAAAAAAAAAACATAATGGAATTAGATATTTTTGAAATAGATATTTTTTAAAAACTAGTGCCCAAAATATTGTGGCATAGCTACTTGTGTGAATATTATTCAGCCGTTTAAAATGATATTTGTGAAGATCTTATGGCAAAATGGAAGCATGCTTATGACATTTTATGTTTCAAAAGCCAGGATCCCAGAAAAAAAATCAGAAGGAATATGTGAAGTGAAAAGTGTTAAGATGGTGGGGTTCTCTTTTCCTCTCTCCCTCTGAACTTTCTGCAAGGTCATTATTACTTCTATAATCTCAAAGTTCTTTGGTTTTTTAATACTTCACTCATTAACTATTTTTAAAGCCTTTGCTATGTGTCAAGCACTGTGCTGGTCTCTGGAAATACAGCAGTAGTTAGGTGACGGGGTCCCTGCCCACTCGGAGTCTCCTTCCTGAGTGCAGGCGACAGAGAGTGTACATTAGCAGGGGCTGTGAATGCTAGAAAGGAAATAGTACGTCTCCTGGGAGGGGTGCTCCTTAGCTGAGCTCCTTAGCTGGTGGGTGAGAGGAGCTGACCTTGGAAGAGTGAGTAGGGAGCGGGAGGGGACTGCTTTTCAGATGTGGGTGCAGAGGCGAGGCCGACAGATAGGGACTCTCGAAGCGTTTTCTAGGAACTGTTCGAAAGCACTCAGACCACTCCGGTGGGGTGAGGAAGAGGGAGAATGGTCCAATGTGAGGCTGAAGAGGTCAGCAGGTCTCTGCCAGCTGGGGCCTAGGAGCCTCGTTTCATGGCGTGGCATGGCCCCCTTGTGCCAGGCTGGGCCTGAGGTGTGTGCGCAGATGGGGGAGGGGAAATGTGAAGGGACCTGGGGGTCACTGGGCACTTCCTTTTGGTAGTGTGGGCTGGTTAGAGAATCCCAACCCCCATTCTCTGGCCCCATATATCCTCTGTCCCCCTCAGGGTTCCCCTTGGATGGGCTCACACTTTACCTCAGGCAGGGGTTTGCCATCAAGTTGCCAGATGCCATTGGAAAGCCAGCTGATTTCTGGGAGCAAACCATTGCCTGTCAAGTCTGTTCATTCGTGCAGTCCACAAATATTATGGGGCTCTTACTGTGACGGGCTCTGTGCCAGACACTGGAAATGCTGGGGTGAACGAGCGGGCCGAGGCCATGTTTCCATGGGCTTACACTCTAGTGAGGGAGAGACAGGAATCGAATGTACAGTATAAGTACCCGCGGTATAAGTGCTATAAAGAAGACTAAAGCGGTGCTACTGCAGACAGGCTCGTTGGGCGGTGGGGGCTGTTCTGAGGTGGCGATGTTTGACCAGAGTTCCTGAGAAACTTGCCTTGGCGTTCACTCCATGTTTCTTGCGTTTAGCTTGATACTGATGGACATTGTATGGGCCAGAGGCAGGGATGGTTGGCTATGACCCCAAAGCAGATGGCAGGAATAACTCCAAGTTCCAGGTGGCAGCAGCTGGGTCTATGTCTGGACTTGTCACACGGGCGCTTATCAGTCCCCTGGACATCATCAAAATCCGTTTCCAGGTACTCTTTTCCCCTTTTTCCATGCAATCGGCTAGAGTACAAGTTCAACCTTTCTTGCAAAAGCAGTTCCTAAAACTTGGAATTTTGTCAAGATAAAGCACTTTGTTGCCGTCATTACCTTTTCTGAAATTTCTCCTTCTCACCCCATCCCCATTGTCCTGACCTTTGTGATTTTGCTTCCTAGCTTCAGATTGAGCGCCTGTCTCGCAATGACCCCGGTGCAAAATACCATGGGATCCTACAGGCCACAAAGCAGATTTTGCAAGAGGAGGGCCCAACGGCATTCTGGAAAGGACACATCCCAGCCCAGATTCTCTCCGTAGGCTACGGAGCTGTCCAAGTAGGTGGCAGGGGACAAGACCAGGCCCCTGGGTCACATTGCTCAATGGAGAAGCAGAGGGAGGGTGAAGCAGGCAGGGACACTGCCTGGGGTGGGTGGCAAGAGGCAGTCCCCACGTTTCCCACTTGACTAACTGGGAACCTGCCTGACCCATTGAAGACGTTGTCAGATTGAGCTGTACCTTAGACATTCCCTTCCCTATGTCCCCACTGCCCACCCCAGGTGACTTAGATGTTGCACCTATGATATTGACTTGACACCACACCCTCCCCACCAGGGCTTGGCAAATTTCATTTTTGGAAATACCATCTTCACATATATGCTTCATCTGAACTTCACACGAGCATTGTGAGGAGGGTAGAGCAGGTGTTATGTGGATCTCAGGGAGGGTAAGTGAGCTGTCCGAGGCCGCACAGCCTGTATGGGATGGAGCTGGGATTGGAACCCAGGTTTCTTGACTTCTAGTCATTCATTCATTCCGCTGAGCGCCAGTGTTATTTCACAGTTTACAGCATGTGGCTTTACGGTGGTTGTGGTAACAGCCAACCCTTGTACAGTGTGAGCTGTGGGCCAGGCCCCTGCTGTGAGCACAGTACATGTACCCCATCATAGCAGTCCTCTGGGGTAGGTGCTGTTATCACTCCTTTTTTACAAATGAGAAGACTGAGGCAAACGGAGATTTTTATTAAATAATTAATCCAACCAAAATCACTAGCTAGAAAGTGGCAGAGCTGGGCCTCCCACCCATACAGCTAGTTCCAGAGATGTCCCTGCCTACTCCTCCTGCGACATCCCAGTGACTGCTCCAGTCAGGCGCTTACCAGATGGCCATGTCTGTGCACGTGGCACACAAGTAGATATCGTGGTGTGATGAATAAGTACGGCACCGGCTGGGCACAGGACGCCGAGCCACCTCGAGGTGGCTGAAGGCACATCCAAGTGTGAGGGTTACCCATGGAGGGCGTAACCCTCGCGCAGCCCAGCGGGCTGTGCTCCAGAGCACAGTGGCTCTCACACAGCCCTGCCGCCAGCACATTGGAGGGGTCCCCTGCCCGGAATCAGATGACGGCCATCTTTTCCCAGTTCTGAGAAAATTAAGTCAGAGAGTGGCACTTTCTGATATTAATTTTCCCATATATCTTCTTAACCTTTTGGATATTTGGCTTTACTCAAATTAAGTATAAAATGGCATCTGAGTTTCACACATAATTACATGTATATTGTATTCTGTCGCTGCTCAAGAATAACATTTCCTCACCTTTCCTCACCTCCAGGACTGGGCCCCACCTGTATCACAGGTAGTGTATTGCAGGGTGGCATTTGGTCTCAGCTGTCATCCTTTGGGCTGTTAATGACCTTTTCACTCAATTTGCAGTTTTTGTCATTTGAAATGCTGACGGAGCTGGTCCACGGAGCCGACCTGTACGACAACCACGAGTTCTCGGTGCACTTTGTATGTGGTGGTCTGGCTGCCTGCGTGGCCACCCTCGCCGTGCACCCTGTGGATGTTCTGCGCACCCGCTTTGCAGCTCAGGGTGAGCCCAGGGTGAGTGGTCAGGGCCAGGCCCGGGGAGCCTGAATAAGATGGTGTTGTTACAGGAGTTGGGGTTCTTCTCCCTGCAGAAAGTGAAGCTGGGAGAAGCTCTGGTTTTCAGTTCATCAGGCAGTTTGTAAGACTGTGACTGTGGTCAGCACCATGCAGGGTGCTTTCTGTCCTTGTCTGGAAGGAGCCCACAGCCTCCCTGGGGCAGCAGAACCTATAGGTATGAAACAGAGAACAAATAAATACCCACCAGAGGGCTGGATCAAGAAAGGCATCTCAAAAGTGAGACTCAAGAACTTATTGCTGCAGTTTGGGAGGCCAAGGCAGGAGGATTGCTTGAGGCCAGGAGTTTGAGAACAGCCTGGGCAAAAGCAAGACCCCATCTCTAGCTGGGCGTCGTGGTGGCACCTGTCGTCCTAGCTACTTGGGAGGCTGAGGCAGGAGGATTGCTTGAGCCCTGGAGTTGGAGGTTGCAGTGAGCTACGATGATGCCACTGCACTCCAGCCTGGATGAGAAAGTGAGACCCTGTCTCAGAAAAACAAAAACTCATTGCTCTATTATTGTGAGAGTGTCTTTGGTTTCTACAAAGAATGGCTTGGAGGAAATGGGATAGTTGAGTCAGACTCAAGGAAGAATTTAGTAAAAGCAAGGGATTAAATCCTGAAACAAACCTTCCTACCATAATCTCTGCTTCCTGGACATATTTAAGAGTAACATTGTGTGTGTGTGTGTGTGTGTGTGTGTTTGTGTTCTCAACCAAGAAAGAATAATTTTTCCACTGTCTCCCTTCTGCTTTAGGGTACTGTTGGTGGGAAAGGAAGTACACTTTAAGAATTTGATCTGGCCAGGCGCAGTGGCTCACGCCTGTAATCCTAGCACTCTGGGAGGCCAAGGCGGGCGGATTGCTAGAGGTCAGGAGTTCAAAAGCAGCCTGAGCAAGACCCTGTCTCTACCAAAAATAGAAAGAAATTAATTGACCAACAAAAATTGTATACAAAAAATTAGCCAGGCATGGTGGTGCATGCCTGTAGTCCCAGCTACTCGGGAGGCTGGGGCAGTAGGATTCTGAGCCCAGGAGATTGAGGTTGCTGTGAGCTAGGCTGACGCCTCGGCACTCACTCTAGCCTAGGCAAGAAAATGAGACTCTGTCTCAAAAAAAAAAAAAGAATTTGATCTGAGACCAGTTAACAATACCTGTGGTTTCAATTCTGCCATTTCTTTCTTTGTGGTGTTTGGCGTGGAGAGCCTGAGTCAGGGAGGCCCTTTTGTTTAGAAGACAGCCTGAGGACCTATTTGGTTGAGAAGAACACAGATCTGGCTGGGCGTGGTAGCTCATGCCTGTAATCCTACCTCTCTGGGAGGCCGAGGCGGGTGGATTGGTCGAGGTCAGCAGTTCGAAACCAGCCTGAGCAAGAGCGAGACCCGTCTCTACTATAAAAGAAAGAAATTAATTGGCCAACTAATATACATATATAAAAAAAAATTAGCCGGCATGGTGGCGCATGCCTGTAGTCCCAGCTACTTGGGAGGGCGAGCAGCAGGATCGTTTGAGCCAGGAGTTTGAGTTGCGTGGAGTAGGCTGATCCACGGCACTCACTCTAGCCTGGGCAACAAAGTGAACTCTGTCTCAAAAAAAAACAAAAAAAAACTCTGCAGTTTCCTGAGTGAGAAGAGTGTCTCTGATATTCGTAATGAGCCCCTTTCCATCACACCACTGAGTTTATGGTAATGAGTCACTTAGAATGGAGCCCTTAGAAGGCCCTGCATATAGCTGGTCATCAGGTGATTAGAGGTGGAACTTTGAGCTCCACTCACCGTCCTGGGAAGTTTAGGGTTGGAGATTAAACTCTATTAAATATATAAAACTCTGAACAACAAGATTAATGGCTCCAGGTGCTGTACACCCGGAGAGGGCGTGGAAGCTCCGACCCTGCCTCCGGGCATCTCTTCATCTGCGATCACTGGTTTATATACCTTTATATATAAACGGTACATAAGTATTTCCTTGAGTTCTAGCAAATTACTGAACCAAGAGGGTTCTGGGAACCCTAATTTATAGCTGGTTGACCAAAGCTCGGCCACAGCTGGGGCTTGCAACTGCATCTCAAGTGGGGGCCGTTGTGAGACTGAGTCCCACACCTGGGGAGCTGACATTATCTCCAAGGCAGATGGTGTCAGAACTAAATTGAAGTATAGGACACCCACTGGTATCTGCTGGAGAATCCTTGGTCTGTGGGGGAGAACCCCCACACCTTATGGACACAGCCTCGTGTGCCTTATTTTACCTTACCTTGCTGATAATCTGACTATAGCATTCTAGGTAGCTGTCACGTTGCTGAAGAGAAGTCCTGAACATTTCGATCTCTGATCCTTTATATGACATCTTCTCCCCAAGCCACTATGGAGCAAGACCCTGTCTAAAAGAAAAGGAGAGCTGACATATTTAGTCTTTTTTTTTTTTTAGAGAATGGGTCTTGCGCTGTCACCCGTGCAGTAGCACGTCATAGCTCACTGGGCCTGAGCTCCTGGGCTCAGCTGATCCTCCTGCCTCTGCTTCCCAAAGTGCCGTTACAGGCATGAGCCACTGCACCCGCCTTAGCATCCTTTTATGTGCTTATTTGCTATCTGTGTATGCTGGTGAAGTATCTGTCAAATTGTTTTCCCATTTTTGTATTGGATGCTTTTGTTTTGCAAATATTTTCAAAGTCTGTGGCTTATCTTTTTTTGTTTGTTTGTTTGTTTGTTTTGTTTTTGAGACAGATCTCGCTTTGTTGCCCAGCTAGAGTGAGTACCTGGTGCAGCCTTCCACAAACCTCAATCTCCTGGGCTCAAGCAATCCTCCTGCCTCAGCCTCCGAGTAGCTGGACTACAGGCATGCGCCACCATGCCGGCTAATTCTTTTTTCTATATATATTAGTTGCGCAATTAATTTCTTTCTATTTACGGTAGACGGGGTCTCACTCTTGCTCAGGCTGGTTTCGAACTCCTGAACTCGAGCAATCTGCCCGCCTCGCCTCCCCAAGTGCTGAATTATAGGCGTGAACCACCGCGCCCGGCCTGTGGCTTGCTTTTAATTTCTTTAGCAGTGTTTCTGAAGAGTAATGATTTAATTTTGATGAAGGCCAATTTCTCAACTTGTCTTTCATAGATTGCTTTTGTGGCTATAAATCTTTGTCTAACTCAAGTCATAAAGCTTTGTCTCAAGACTCTGTCTCTGAATCTTACTTTTTTTTTGAAAAATAGGCCGGCGCGGTGGCTCCACGCCGTAATCCTGGCACTCTGAGAGCCAAGGCAGTGGATTGCTCGAGGTCAGGAGTTCGAAACCAGCCTGAGCAAGAGCGAGACCCCGTCTCTACTATAAATAGAAAGAAATTAATTGGCCAACTATACACAGAAAAATTAGCTGGCATGGTGGCACATGCCTGTAGTCCCAGCTACCCGGGAGGCCTGAGGGCAGCAGGACGCTTGAGCCCAGGAGTTTGAGGTTGCTGTGAGCTAGGCTGCCGCCATGGAACTCACCTAGCCTGGCAACAAAGTGAGACTCTGCTCAAAAAAAAAAAGAAAGAAGAAAGAAAAATAGATCCTTTTAAACCTTGTCTCCAGTCAGAGTATGTTAGTCATCATTTTGTGGGTGGTTCTTTTTTTTTTTTTTTAGCGTACTATGGGGTACAAGTGTTAAGGTTACTATATTGCCCACGCCCCTCTCCCCCCTCGAGTAAGAGCTTCAATGAGTCCATCCCCCAACGTGGCACATTCACTCATTGTGTTTGTATATACCCATCCCCCTCCTCCCCCTCCCACTACCTTGGAACACTGATAAATATTACTCCTATATGTCCACTTAGGTGTTATCCATTAATACCAATTTTGCTGGGAGTCCGTTGGTGCTGGGTTTTTTCTGTATTAGATACTTCACTTAGGTATAATGGGTCCAGCTCTATCCAGATATACAAGCAGGTGCTATATCACCGTTGTTTCTTTCTTTTTTTTTTTTCTTGGAAGAGTCTGGCTTTATGTCCAGGCTCAAAGTGAGGCCGTGGCGCAGCCCTAGCTCACAGCAACCTCAAACTCCTGGGCTCAAGCGATCTGCTGCCCAGCCTCCGAGTCTGGGACTCAAGCAGGCCCACCCAGACCCGCTAATTTTCTATATAGTATTAGTTGGGCCCACGTTATATTTCTCTTCTATTTTGAGTAGAGACGGGTCCCGCTCTTGATCAGGCTGGTATTCAACTCCTGACCTCGAGCAGCGCCCACCTTGGCCTCCAGCATGCAGGATACAGGCATGAGCCACCGCACCCAGCCTATGTACCATCTCTATCAGCTCTTCCTTCCAGATTGTTTCCTCTCTTCCTGTTTGAGCATTTTGGTCTCTGCTTTTTGCTTTTTCTAGAGACAGGGTCACGCCCTGTCTCCCAGGCTGGAATGCAGGATGGGGTGGTCCCTGTTTTTGGTGAAGCCTGTCCTGGAATGCGTGGTGATCCTTGCCTGCCACCCTGGCATTAGAAAGGGCACGCAGAAATGCAGAGTGGGAACTCTGGGTCTAGAAGCCACATGGTGAGAAGGGCAGACTCAGCCCCCACTGTCAGCGAGGTGCCTCTCCGTGCCCCCAGCTGGGCCAAGTCAGAGCCCCAGGGGTCCATTTCAAGCAAAATATGTTTAATGGAAGGGTACTAAGAAAAACAAATGTCCTACATGGTCTTCTGCGTAGATATCACCTGTTGACGGCTTAAGAAAGGTTATGGCCGGGCGCGGTGGCTCACGCCTGTAATCCTAGCTCTCTGGGAGGCCGAGGCGGGCAGATCGTTTGAGTTGAGGAGTTCGAAACCAACCTGAGCAAGAGCGAGACCCCGTCTCTACTATAAATAGAAAGAAATTAATAGGCCAACTAATATATATACAAAAAAAAAAAATTAGCCGGGCATGGTGGCACATGCCTGTAGTCCCAGCTACTCGGGAGGCTGAGGCAGGAGGATCGCTTGAGCCCAGGAGTTTGAGGTTGCTGTGAGCTAGGCTGATGCCACGGCACTCACTCTAGCCTGGGCAGCAAAGTGAGACTCTGTCTCAAAAAAAAAAAAAAAAAAAAAGAAAGGTTATTACACATGCATGTGGCAACAACTCCAAACAGCACAAAATGTTATATCGTAAATCTCCTTCTTCTCCTGGGCCCTAAACCCTATCCCCACTGCCCCCAACCCCCAGTTCCCTCCATGGAGTTGTCGCTGTTCCTCGTTTCTGTGCATCCTTGGGGGCATAATCTCCACATACAGTTGGTTTCCTCCACAAACACTGGCCACTCTTCCGTGTCTCACTGTGTTCATTTATCTGTTTGGGGGATTATTCCGTATCGGTCACGTAGATTGCATCTTCCTGTTTTAACAGCTGTGCTAGGATCTCGTGCACTGTGTACCATGATTCATGTAACCATCGCCCACAGATGGACATTATACCTTTTGCTGTTTCACGGGGTACTGCAGGTGACTCTTTGGGCATGTACTTTTGTGCACACATGTGGGTTTAATAGTTGTGCAAATTTATAGAAGGGAGGCATTGCTGGAAAACCCCACCCTTTGAATTTCTGTCCGTTTTCTGTGACTGTCCTCTTCGCAAGAGAAGTTATACTCCTGGCAGGGTTTGTGGACTCAGGGAAGTGGATGTGGTGGGCTGTGTTCTTGGGCTAAAACCCCCTTGCTGAGCTCACTCCAGTTGCACGTGTGCGTGTCCAGGTGTATAAAACCCTGCGAGATGCCGTGGTGACCATGTTCAGGACCGAAGGCCCAATGGTCTTCTATAAAGGCTTGAGCCCCACCATGATCTCCATCTTCCCCTACGCCGGCCTCCAGTTCTCCTGTTACACCTCCCTGAAGCACTCCTATGAATGGCTCCTGCCAGCTGAAGGAAAGAAAAGCGGTGAGATGCCCCCCGCCCTGCCCCCATGCCATGAAATAAATACCGATTTCCTGTCAGAGGCGGAGACCACTGTTCTCTGCACCTGGCTCTGATGTGGCAGCCGCTGAGAGATGAGAGATGACTTTGTTCTTCCAGCTCCTGCCAACACCCGTCGCTGGCATCACTGGAATTTATTTCCAGTGATTGGTCATGGTTTTCATTTTTGTCAGAAGTCCAGATTGCAAGTTGCCGGTTTTGTGGTTGTGGGTTTTTATGGCTGTTCTTGGGTGGGGCGGGGGAGGATGGGGAGGGGGGGGCATCCCAAGCCTGGCCTGGGACTGAGTCAGGCCGCACTACCTGGCGGCGTGGCTGCCTCAGCTGGGGGGTAGCTGCAGAAAAGATTCCTTCTGTCAAATTTGGATTCAGTCAAAAGGCTGCACTCAGGGATCCAGAAGGCCACATGTGGCCCCAGGGCCACAGGTTCCCCACTGCTGTCTCACACCCTGACGCCACGAGCCTGTCCAGCCTGCAGTCTGGGACCACTCCTGCCAAAAGTGGCTGTGTCCGGCTTTCTTGCTCCTAGATTGAATTCTTCTTTGAGATCAAAGGATGCTTGTGGAGTTTTGGTTTGTGATGGAGGAGTAGACCTGATGACCTTTCAGTTGCCTACCGTAGACTGTGTTTCTCTCATCCTTCCCCTCCATCTCACTTCTCTGGTTCAGAGAACCTCAAAAACCTGCTTTGTGGCAGTGGAGCCGGAGTCATCAGCAAGACCCTTACGTATCCCCTGGATCTCTTCAAGAAACGGCTGCAGGTTGGAGGGTTTGAGCATGCCCGAGCTACCTTTGGCCAGGTGAGCCGTCCCTGTGCAGACAGCTCTGACCCTTGCTGTCCCTGGGCACATTAAGGAACTGGCAGCCAGCTCCTGCCCTTTGGGCAGCATTGGCCTCCCCCCATGGCCTCTTCATGCCCAGCCTGTCCCTGGGGATCCTCAAGAACAGGGGAAAGCCACATGCAAAGCCCTGTATGTCTTGGGCACTGTGGAAGGATCCAGGCCAAGGAGGATTCAGTGCCTGCTCTTAAAACGTGTCCAGTACAGTTTGGAAAGAGGTGAATTGGATTTGAGCAACTAAGTTATATTTTAAGTGCACTAGAAGGGTATGCCAATCAGAGAAGGCCCATGGTAGGTGATGTTGTACTCTTAATAGTCACTACTCAGTTGCTCAGATTTTTCACAATTGGTTGCCCTCAGCTCCTTTTTGAACACTGATTTTGTGCAAGGCCTTGGTGGTGGTCAGTGGGGGGGGGTGGGGGTGGGGAAAAGGTACGTAATCCCAGGGCTTTCCCTCCAGGTCCTGGGGACCTGGGATGTGGAGGCATGCAGAAACATCCTGACAAAGGTTAGCAGACGAGGAGGACGAGGAACGGGGGCCCAGAAGGGAGTGAGCGCTCCTTACTTGGGGAAGAGAAAGAATTGGGTTTAGAATTTTTTTTTTTTTTTTTTTTTTTTTTAGACAGAGTCTCGCTTTGTTGCCCAGGCTAGAGTGAGTGCCGTGGCGTCAGCCTAGCTCACAGCAACCTCAATCTCCTGGGCTCCAGCGATCCTTCTGCCTCAGCCTCCCGAGTAGCTGGGACTACAGGCATGCGCCACCATGCCC